ACACCCTTATCATATACGTGTCTGAGCAAAAAATAAACTTCGATGGCATTAAGACATTGCAAGCTTGAGTTTTTCTGCTTCAGCAATTGGACTATCCTGATTCACTCAGTTGCCAAAACATGTCTTAGGCTACTTTCACCTCCTTCCAAAGCCCTGACTATCTCTCAGACTCTTGTGCCCCTTCTGCCCATTCCTCTAGGACACTGATGGCAAACGTATGGCACCCACGCAGCAGGGGACATGCAGAGCCCTCTCTGTTAGCCAAGTCACCCCAGCATCGTCCCAGCAGCCAGACATATGATATTCAAGTTTAACTGCAGTGTTGGTACTTTGCAATAAATAAGTGGTTTGGAGTTGTGGTTTGGGCACTCAGTCTCTAAAAGGTTAACCTTCATTGCCCTAGGATATTAGGGGCTCTACAGTTTCCCTCAGGTTGTCAAAGGCCCCCTAGAAGAACATCAGTGTATTCCCCCAAATTCAATCCTATAAATGTCTCCTTAGCCTCTACCATGAGTGAACCTACAAACAGGACGTAAGATAAAGATCCAGGACAAAGGGTGAGCTGGGATCCACCTGTGGGAGTAGCTAGGTCAAGGCCCAGGGATACAGGAATGAAGCGCAGAGTATTTGCCACTTTATATTAAAGGTTCTTCAACTGCTAAGTATGCAGGTTCAACGTCCAAAAAAAACAAAGGAGGGAAGAGGAGAGGGGCTGGAACTGAGATTCAAAGAATCAAGGTAGAACTTACTAGGGGGACATGGAGACTAGAGAACATCTTGGGAACCTCAGATCCTACAAAAAGAAAACACAGGGGCTCTGATACGGTGGGGGAGAACCATAGAGCCAAGCAATGCTCATATTCTCTGTGGATTTGAAGACACTAGAGCTATTTGCTCCTGTCCCTAACACAAGCCTGTCATGAACATCCAGAAATGTCTGGTAACTCATCTCACTCAACAGTCTCATCAAGTTAAGGAGAACTTGTCTTGACAACTCTTGTCTTGGACTGCTTGCTGCTTATTCACAGCCCTGGTCTGCACACAGATGCATTCAGCTAAACACAGGGTCCTGTGAGGATCTGGGGATGTAACGTGTGTGTAGGACCACTTCGGTTGCAAGGAACAGAAACCCCTCTCATGCCAGCTCAATCAATGCAGCGATAGCAAACCTTTTAGAGATCAAGCGCCCAAACTGCAACCCTAATCCCACTTGTTTATTGCAAAGTGTCAACACTGCAATTAAACCTGAATATTTAGTGCCCACCTGCTGGGATGACTTGACTCACACGCTGACAGAAGGGTTTTGTATGCTGCTGCAGCACGTGTGCCATAGGTTCACCACCCCTGTCATAAAGAGTTTAACTGAAGGTTGCCAGGAAAGACGAAAGGAAATAATGAGCAGGAAGTGACTGTAACACTGGGGCTCCAAAGCCATTCTGGGTTTCTGTTTCTGGGAAGCACCATTTTGTTTCCAGATCTCTGTAGAATGGTTTCACCCAGGTGTCATGGTTCTGGTTCATCCACAATGTGGACTTTCAGTGGGCACCCCTGGGCCACGTCTACTGGCCTACTCCATCTTCCCTCCTCAGCCTCACAACTCACCAACTCATTCGTCAGAGTCTTTATTCAAATTCCTGGGAGAGTCAATTGATCGAGGAACTAATCAGCTTCAATCTTACCTGTATATTCCTAGTCTAACCTGAATGAAACACAGAGCCCCTTTCAGGATCGGGGAGCCCTAGCAAATGAGCAAAGAAAATGTACAGGCAGGGATACAATGTCATATTACCGATGCAGGCTGGTCCTAGCTCTCCTTAAAACACACTCTCCTAGAAAGAGCTTGTCCTCCAGTGAACTCTCCAAAAGGGAAATCACAGTTTCCCAGAAAGGAATCCTAGATCCAAAGAATGACCTGTGACAGCTGTAGAACTCAAGTGAGTTGCTTTGAAAGCAATTCACCCAACTTTGCATCCACCCATCTTGCCTCTTCCACTGACTGTCCTGAGATTTACTGCACTTGAGCCTGTGACATCAACAAGCTTTCAGCCTCAGCCTTGTCAGGTCCATCAGAACTTCCTGCTGGACTCCCATGCAAGCAGAATACCAAATAAGAGGCAGCCTAATGATCCGGATCAATCAACACCATCCTTGATCCCTGAGTGCTTACATGCCAAGACACACCACAGTAATCTAAAAACATCTGAGATACTGAAATGCAAATGTAGAGTGTAAAAAACTAGTCCTACAGTGGGTGAAGGCAGGCTGGACTAAAAATGCACACCTGGTTTCGTGGCCTGACCCTGAAGCTAGGTCACTAAATGACAAGTGAACACATCACCTCCTCTTTCTGCACATACATAATCTCTACTCTCTAGCCTTTTCTCTGCCCTTGTTTGGTTGGGAGATACCCTGGACAGGGTTGGAGGAAAAGTATGAGAAAAGGAAGGGGGTTCATGCTTTCCCCTACTTAGAAGAGATTCTCTGGATGAGGCTTGTTCCCAGAAATGGTTAAGAAGGGAGAGAGAGGGAGCAATGGTCTACAACTGGAAAATGTTCAGGCCTGGTATCACTCGAGAGAAGGGTGGATCACTGTCACAGGATAGGTAGATGTGGTTAAGCACTAAGCTGCAATCCTGCTAAAAGTCTGGTCCTCCTGTTGCTTCCTGGCCTTCTTAGACATAGGTGTGAATCTGGAGGAGAACCAAGAGGTGAAATATTCGCTTTGTGTGGTCTTCTCTACAGGGTCTCTCAGGAGACTTTTGAGGGATTCTTTAGGGCATTCTGGTATGAATTAGGAGCATTCCTGTCACAAGGCACAGGAACTTCAATAAGAATAGAATGTCATATGTACCTGAAAAGTTCAGAGGTCAAGTCAGCTTCAGGCATGGCTGAATATAAGGTATTCAAGGAATATAGCTAAAATCTGGTTCTTCTCTCGGACCTGCTTTCTTTGAGTAGTGTCATTAGCAGAAAAGCTTTACCAATATGACCATAGAGTGACGATAGCAGTTCCAACACCACATTCTTCCAGGTTCGGGTTGTAAGGGAAAATGTAACTCTGCTTCTCCACCAATGAAACAAAGCTCTCAGAATTGAATCTCACTGACTCTGATTGGTCTGACGTATGTGCTGGCTCCTGGGTTAATCAACATCAGCAGGCGACTCAAGTGCATCAAATGTATGAGCCTAAGCCTCATGCTTCCCTCAGGGCAAGGGGCAGATCCTACTCAAACCACGCTTGCTGAGAAAGAGGGAGAAGTGAATCCTCAGATAAAAGTAGGTGGATATATTACTAGAAAATGAAGAACGGATTATTGGAAACAAGTCTTCACTGCAGCATGTTAACCTCAGCTGTAATTATTGATAAAAGTGCATTCAATTCCAGTTGCAAATGCACATAGAAAAGACCTCCATCACAGTTACTTGCTGGTGTCTCATTCTTCTGCTAGGGGATGAGTCTTATTCTCCATTCTATCCCCTGCAGTGCCTAAAATAGGGCCTGTCTGGTACACAGTAAGTACTTAACACCTGTTTCTTAAGTTGAATTGAGTATTTTCAGGGGAGCTAATCACAATTAACTATATATGCAGCACTTTGTATAATTTACCAAAAGCCCTTTCATCCATTATTTAATTTCATCCTAACCAAAAGCCCTGCAAGAAAATACTATGCGCCTCATTTTATAGTCACAAAAACTAAAGATCTGTGAAGTTAAGTGAGTTGCCCCAGGATTCTTAATTTAAAGTATGGGCTCTTTCCTTTTCTCTATTTGCTCCCAAACAGAGACAGGAAAGAACATCAGCACAAAGGTGTGGGTTCGTGTTGCCCCAGGCCAGATATACTCAGCTGCAGTAAACACTTCCCACCCACCAAACTGGCCAGCAAGGTCTCCTTTCCTGTGGATGTGGGGACAGACCTGGCTCCGTGTCACATGGCCTGGAGCACAGAGCCCTAAAGGCAGGAATAAATGCTGAGCTGAGTGTGTGGTACCAGCTGACCAAACTGATCCTCCACCAGAGTCCTACCTCCTGGTACCCTTCATGCCATAACAAGTTTGGAGCCAAGGATGAGCTGAGTCATGAACTTCATTTATTGACATATAAAATCTAAAGGTTTGCTTCCCTTTTGCTGAGCCTGCATTTTTAAATAACAACTCCAGCCACTGAAAAACATGTCTGTCCACTTGGTTGCCGCCTGTGGAAGAACTGATATGCTTTGACATATTTGTTTATTTAATATTTCCAAATGAATTTAGAATTTTTACAGCATTGCTATTAAATATGTCATCTATTTTGAACTGTATATAAAAGTGTTTACAAAAACTGTGTACATTTCTGAGTATTTATTTAATCTTCTAAATTAACCTTTGAATTTCTGCAAAGTACCTCATTAAGCATGTCACTTATTCATGAGACATTCATGAGAACTGCATGTTTTTGAGCATTTATCTAATCAAAAGTGTGTATATGTTTGTGCACATTTATTTAATAAAAGATTTTAAATTTTCAAGAAGAGAGTAAAAATGGATAACTAAATGCAAGAACTCTGTGAAGCCACAGAGAAACCACTTACAACTCTAGAGAAACAATCAAACTCTAATGCTGATGTGGAATAGGCATAGAGAAGCTGAGCAGAGGCCTGAAGGAGGAGGAAAAAAAGACTGGACATGAGGGAAAAGAAAATACGTAGAACAAAAACAAATAGATATTCCAGATATGTCACTAACAAACTATAGTCAGCACTGTGGAGGCCAAGGGAGGAAATATGGAGCAATTATGAGCACCACAGTAACCTGGACACACTTCACCTCCCACTCACCATGACTGCCCTCCATTCTCAGAAGAACAGGGCCCTGGTTTTTTCACTGATCACCTACTAGCCCCAGGGAAAATTTTTTGACAGAACTTCATATCCCAGAGAATGATATGTTCCGCAAAAGTTTGATCATTGGCTCATTAAAAGTTATAATTGAGAAGAATAAGATTAACTTCATAACTAAATGGATGAGAAAACATAGTTTTATTAATAGCAGGTAAGATCTGCTGGAAGGAGGTGTGCTGCCCTGGGAGTAGCTTCCTTCTCATTGGCCCATGCCCTGGGCCTGTCTCTGCCCTTTGGTCCTCTGAGAGACACCCTGATCCATGCTTCAGGCATGGACCTTGAGAAAGGACACCCTGCCACGATGTCCAAGGTATTGGATTTGATGATTTAGACTTCTGGCTAGTTCCTCCAAGGCTGTACAGTCAAGTGTACACACACACACACACACACACACACACACACACACACACACAATCAATCAATCAATCAATCAATCAATTGTGGCAACCGAAATTCTTTCTCTTCTTCGCTCCAGCAGATCCCATCCTGTTTGAATGCAGCGTTGGAGGTGCAAGGATCCAAAGACTTCCGTGGTTGGAAGACTGCGAAATAAAAGCAACAATGGCCTGACTGCACAGATACTCGACATTTTTCCCATCATAACACTTAGAAAGATGTGAAGAGCATAAACATGGCAAATTCCCTAAGTATATGCACATCTTTGAAAAAAAAAAAACCTCATACTGTTTTTCAGGAAATGAAGACATTACAATAATTCAGCTACTGTATCCATAAAGGTGAGTTATTTTAGATCCAGGACAGCAAGCTTACATCCCAGAGCCTAAAACCAGCCGAGCCCACAAAAGCATTTTATTTGGTCTGCACAACACTCATTTAAATATTTTTTTCTACCTTGACAATGAGATGGTTTCACATTAAAAAGAATGAGAACTGGGCCTGGCTTCCAGTTAGGATGGACAAAGTCATAAAAGATTACCAGTCCCACAAAAAAAATCAGAAAACATCAGATAAACTACAGAATCACACTTCCAAGACAACGAGGATGCAGCACAATCTAAACAGACTGAATTCTAGAGAGAGACAGCTTTCCGTAAGTGACTAGAGTCCAGTGGCTGCTTTTACTTTTCAAAACAGGCTGGCAAGCAGGCACATCTGCAATAGACAAGGCACTTTACTGAATTACAAAGAACCGAGATTAACTGGTAATGACTGTACCAACAGGAATGACAGACTGGAATGCAATGGAGTTCTCTAAGCAGAGATGACACTTACTGGCTTCCAGCTCTCCCTCCCTCACAAGAGGTTTATCAACTGTGCAGTACCATGCAAACTTCGACAGGAAAACAAAGCAAGAGATCTCCCACTGCATGACACTCTGTAAGCAAAAAAGGAAGTCAGAGAGAAAGGAAAGGAGAGAGAGGGAGGAAAAATGATATTATGGTCAGTATTTAAATCCCAAGCGAGGGACCTGAACCCAACCTCACAACATCTGAAACCAGTAGATCTACTGTTTTTGTTGCTGAAAAAAGAAAAGACATCACTATTCTGGTGATAAATACTGACTACTTCAGCTTCTGCTACTCTTTCTTACACTTTATCTATCTTGAGAGTAAAATAATCAATAAAAGCAGACCCACATGTGACTGAGAGAGTGAAATTAACAGACAATACTTTGACATAATAATTACATATATTTTAAGGAATTAGTGGAAAATATAAATGTAAAGAATTTTATCAGCAGAAACTTTTAAAGCACAATCAAAAGAAATCTCAAACCTAAGCTGGCCATGGTAGTTTACACACAGAATCCTATTTGGGATCCTATTTGGAAAGCTGTTGGAGAGTGTAAGGCAGGATCCCAAGTTCGAAGCCAGCCTAGGTAACAGCAAGATACCCATTACAAAAAAAAGACAGAACGAAAAGAAATGGGCCACTGGGGGGACAGCTAGACACCAGCCTTTTCCTGTGAGTCAGCACCATTCACAGACTGCAGAGGAAGAGAACAAGAAGTTACTAAGGAGCATGTCCTCCCTGTGAACCAGCATCACGCCACTCGGGGAACAATCAGACACTAGCCTTTTCCTGTGAGTCAATGCCATTCACAGACTGCAGGGAAAGATAAAAAGAAGTCAACAAGAGCACACCCTCCTTGTGAATCACCACCATGAGCGGGCCGCTGGAGGCACAACCAGATGCAAGTCCCTTCTAGTGCGCAGGCTGGGAAACAAGAAAAGTCAAACCCACCTCCCCATAAGTGACCAGCTGATCTGGAGAAACACAGGCTGCAATGATAGTTATTGGGTAAAATATAATTTAATGCATGTAGCGTTTAGTGTCTCACTGACCTTGCAGGCCTAAAGTCGGTAGTCTGATCATCTATTCAGAGGATAATAATATGCAATGTAGCATCTGTGGAGGATCTCCTTCTGAAGGTGGTTAACTGTTAATTCCCTATTATGTTGTTTTGAAGTCTTGTATCATTTTCATTATTTTGTTGGGTTGGGTTTTATTGTGTTTTATTTTGTTTGATTTTATGATATCAGATGGCATGGGTAGCAATTTCAAAGATAATAAGATACATTTATAGCCATTTTGGAGTTACTATTATCTTGTTTTAAAGTCCTTTATTGCATTCATTGTTTTATTTTTATTGGTTCTATTCTGTTCTGTTTTGTTTGATTTTTACTATGTCTGAAGGTATGTGCAGCTATTTGGGGGACAATAAGAGGCTTTATAATAACCACTGTTGATTTCCTATTGTTCTGAAGTCCTGTGTCACTTACACTGGTTTGTTTTGATTGGCTTTATTCTGTTTCATCTTGCTTGGTTTTATTCTCTTTAAAATAAAAAAAATTGGAAGAAATTTCAAAAATTAATGAGGAAACAACTTAACGGGCTGGACAAATAGAAAAAGGGATCAGTAAACCCAGAACCGGGTCAATTAAAAAAAACAGCAAAACTGATGAGCAAAGAAAAAAGAATTGTTTAAATGTAACATCAGAATGCTGTGAGAGGAAAAATCAGTTTAATATAGATAAAACTGGAGTTCAAGAAGAAGGAAAAGAGAACTGGAGCAAAAGAAATATATGAGAGAATGATGGCACAGAGTTTCCAAAATTTTATGAATACATCAACCCAGAGATTCAAGAAACTCAATGAATTTCAAGTTGGATAAATTCAAAGAATACTACATCAAAGAGCACATTACAACTAAACCACTGAAAACCAAAGATGATAAAAAAAAAAATAACCCTGATGGGCAGGTAAAATAAATTAGGTATTAAATTTAAAGAAAGAACTAAAAGATTTACAAATTTATAGCAGACTTCTCAACAGACAAATGGAATTCAGAAAATAACACAATGACATTCTTTAGATACTGGAAGAAAAACCATTGCTTTAAAATTCTATATGTGACCAAAAAAAACCATATGATCATCTCCACAGATGCCCAAAAAACATTTGATAAAGTCCAACACCCATTCATGGCTAAAAGAAAAGCTACAGAAAGTTGAAATAGATGGTCTTTATCTCGATCTCATAAAAGCCATCTATGACAAACCAACAGCCAACATCATATTAAATGGGCAAAACCTGAAAGCTTTCACTCTAACATCAGGAACAAAGGCCAGGCGTTACGGCACAGGCCTGTAACCCCAGCACTCAGGAGGCTAAGGCAAGGGATCAGCATGACTTTGAGGCCATCCTGGGCTACAAGGTGAGTTCAACTGCATAGTGAAACCCTGTCTCAAAAAGACAAAAAGTAAACAAAATCAGAAACAAGACAAGGCTATCCACTGTCACCACTGATGTTTAATATAGGTCTAGAATTAGGAAATAGGCAAGAGGAAGACACAGGAAAGGAAGAAGTTACCAGTATTTGCAGATGATGTGATACTCTACACAGAAGACCCCACAAATGTCACCAAAAAATTTAAAAACCAAATTCAGTAGTGTCCCTGCATACAATTAACACCAAAAAATCAATAGCCTCCCTGTACATAAAAAACAAACTCACCGCAAGAGAAATTAGGGAAACTACAACTTTCACAGTAACATCCAAAAAAAGAAATACCTAGGAATCAATCTAACAAAGAAAGTAAAATACCTCTTTATTGAAAACTACAGTACTCTGAAAGAGGAAATTGAAGAGGATATCAGAGAATAGAAAGATATCCCTGGTTCTTTTATAGCAAGAACCAATATAGTGAAAATGGCCATATTTTCAAAACAGTTATACAGATTTAATGCAATTCTGATCAAAATTCCAACTACTCTATCTCACAGAATTAGATAAAACAATCCTAAAATTCATTTGGAGTCAGAAGAGATGGAGAATAGTAAAGGCAATTTTGAGCAAAAAAGGCAAGGTAGGGGGCATCACAATCCCTGACTTGAAACTATTATTATAAAGCTACAGTGACTAAAAGCAACATGGTACTTGAAAAAAAAAAAAAAAGGATCAGTGCAATAGATTAGAAGATGCAAAAACATCTCCAAATATTCAGCCACCTTATCTTGCCAAACATATTCATTGGAAGAAAGATAGCCTCTTTAATAAATGGTGCTAGGAAAACTAGCTTTCCACATGCCAAAGACTAAAACTAGACCTATATCTGTCACTATGTACTAAACTAAACTCAAGGTGGATCAAAGATCTAACTATTAAAACAGAAACACTAAATTTGGTAGACTACAGAATAGGTAGGAACTCTTGAAGACATAGGTGGAGGCAAAGACTTTATGAACAAAACTCCAATCACACAGGAAATACTACAAAGAATCAACTTGGATCTCATCTTACTAAAAAGCTTTTGCAAAGCAAAAAAAATCATCAACAGAGTGAAAAGACAGCCCACAGTGGAAAAATTTTATCCAGTGGTTTCTCAGACAAAGGACTAATATCTAGAACATGTAGAGAACTGAAAATATCAGACTCCCCAAATTTTAAAGACCCAAATGGACATCTGAGATGAATACACACTTTTCAGAAGAAGCACAAACAGCCAATAAATATATGACGAAGTAGTCAATATCACTGGTCACTCAAGAGATGCAAACTAAAACAACAGTGAGATTTCATCTCACACAGAAAAGCTATTAGCAAGAAATCAACCAATAACAAATGCTGGTGGGAATGAAGTGAGAAAGCAGCCCTTCTCCCCTGTTGGTGGGAATGCAGACTGATGCAACCACAAGGTAAACCATTATGGAGATTCCTCAAAAAACTAGGACTACAGGTCCCATTTGACCCAGATAGTCCTCTTCCTGGCATCTTCCCAAAGGAATTAAAAGCATCATACCACAGTGATGTATGTGCACCCATGTTTATAGCAGCACAACCTATAATAGGTAAATCTTGAAAACAAGTAAAAAATACCCATCGATCAGTGAATGCATAAAAAAGTTGTGCTTTTTTATACAATGGTGTACTACTCTGTCATAAAAAAGGATGAACAAGACATTTCTAGGTAAATACTTGAGACAATACTCTAAAGGGAAATAAATTGAACACATATCACAAATGTGTAAATATTGCATTTGTCTCCCTGGTGTGAGAAACTGAAAATCTAAGTAAGAACCAAAATGTGTAACAGAAACTGTGAAACAGGAAGAAATTGTTCAAAAGGAAATGAGAGGGAAAAGGAAGGAAGAGAAAAGAAAAAAAGAAAGTAAGGATAAAATGCAAACTAACTTTGTCTATAAGGAGGGGAAGAAGGGTTGAAGGGAGGGGAAGGGAGGGGAAAGGAAAAAATAGGAATTACATACAGATACAAATTCTCTATGATGAATGTGATCTTTATATATATCTAAATTATACCAATAAACTTAATTAATAAAATAAAATTCTATATGTATGAAAACAAAGACATTTTCAGAAAAACAGAAGAAGTGAGTATTTATCAGTAGCAGACTATACTAAAAGAAATTTAAGAGGAAGCTTCCCTGGCTGAAGCACAAATGGAGACCTGGACCTACAAGAAGGAATGAAGAGTGCACGGAAAGTGTAAATATTTGCAAATACATATATATCTAGTAATATTTAAATATAAAATAATATCTATATGTATATATTTAGATATTATGTAAGCAAAAATAATAACTTTGAAGTGAGTGCCTAACACTGTGTCTAAATGTAAACTATGTGCCAAATAGCATAAATTATGGAGAGTGAATAAAAGGAATAAAACTTGGTAAAATTTTTGCATTGGGTTGAGGTTAACAGCTCAGTGGCAGAGCACTTACCTAACATGTATGACACCCTGGGTTCCATTCCCAGCAACTTAAAAAAAGATCTTTATATTTACATTGTTTGTTAAATAGTACACTAATAACCAGTACTAACCGCATAGGTGCATGGTGTTTGATTTGGATCTTAAATGTCCTCCAAGGCTCATACACTACAGGGTTGGTTGTTAGCCTGCAACATTATTGGGAGGTGGCAGCCTCTTTAGGAAGAGAAGTCTATGGGGAGAAGGGAGGTCCCTCGAGAAGTGACCTTG